GGCTTCATGTGTTGGGGGTTTAAAAGTTAGTCATGAATGATGTGTTGCCTTTCTGAATAAAAAGACTCCTTATTTTGTGTAACTATAAAGTGAAACTTGAATGTTCTTCTATATGCGTATCCTACATTACATATAAAAGAATACTAAGTAATCCATTTCCACTCACCTATTCAAGAAAATACCAACTATTTATTCTTAAGTGAATTGAAAAGAAGTAATATTGAATAGAGCACTATAAATAATGCAGTGGAAAATAAAATGCAAAAACCCCAAAGGCATCCCTCCCAAGATGACAGGTCTGCCATTGACCAGCTCCTCTCTCCTGTCCTCACCTGCTGTGCAGGCCTGTGTCTCTTCACTGCTAGGTGGAGAGAGAGCCAGGACACAAGCTCTCTTCCATCTCAGGAAAGATCAGGGACATGGCCTAGGACATGGCCTTCTTTCAGCATTTTCATTGGCTGTAATTTATAATTAACTCAGCAGCTGTGCTGTGGTAAGTTCATGGTTTCTAACAGTCTACACCTTAACTGATTAAGAAGAGAATACGGTGTCTGTCAATGTCATTTTTATAATGACCCCTAGAAGTGAAATTTCCAGGTTAAATGTATATAAGATGAACTTGAGGGTCACAGATTTTACACTTGAAGCCTCTTCATAGAGTTAGAGCCTGGTAGAGGAAGACTGTGTCTGCTCAGATCTATGTGGAGATGTAAAGTCAGAGAGATGGTCCAGGCAGAGGTGCAGGACACAATGGCATCTAGCAGGAACCATGGCTAAAAAAGTCCCAGGTCCAGGCCACCTCATCCTTGAGTAAGTTCTCAGGAAAGCATCACACACTGCATGCTGGACAGGAGAATGCTGGAATGTTTCCAGAGCTCCTCCCTACATGCCTGAGGCCCCCTCTCTCACTCAGGGGAGCTCTGTATGAGAAGGTCAGTCTGTTACAGAGCCCAACCTGACTGAATGTTTTCCACCCAGGTGCAGATCTGAACTGCCACATGTGGACTCACCATAGTTATGGAGCAGGACAGGTGTTTACAGGGAGCAGGTCAGGAGATGGGGACACTGCAGGCAGGTCAGGGTATGAAGCCTTAAATTAGAGACCAGGCCCTCACCAGGCCCAGTTTCCTCCAGCAGTAACCACACCCTGCAAGAATGTGCATTAAATCTGAGTAACTGAAAGGAGTTACTCACAAAATTGTATATTATAGAGATAGCTTGAAGATACAAAAGTAAATGGTAGCATCTGTAAGTAAAATGAAATGTGACCCTTAATGGATATGTGGTGTCCACTGATGTCCCCAAACCACATGCATCCGAAGGAAATAGTCTGATGAACAGAGCAATAAGGAGCACAGACAATGTGTAAAAATCACAGCTGCTTAATAACAACAACAAAGCTGGGATACAGTAATTGCACTTTCAAATTTTATCCAGTATATAATAAAGAATACTGATTGTTTTTCAATTCTTCAATGAAGTTGAAGGAAAAACCACCACCAACTTCTTTTATGTGACAAAATAATTCTGAGAATGAAGCTAGATAATAATGTGTTAAAAATAATATAAATGAAAACACTCTGTTGGCTAATATTCCTACCAAACATACAGAAACGTGTTCAGCTAAATGTTTGCCATGTTAACTCACCAGCATATTCAAAATTAACCAACATGATCAATACTGGGCTCAATATCAGTGTTGTAAGAATGGTCCCTCTCTCACAAACTATCTGTTTCCGCTGGTTTTAATATGTTGTTTCTTACTATATTTTACTATATGCGATAGTATAAAGAAAAATTTTTATAGGCAAGGAGATAATATAGAAACCATTGTTCGTTTTCTGTTAACTGGTTCTAAATACCCTGTAATTCTTTCATTCTCTGGAATGGCTTCACACTGTCTTGATATGCTTGATGCTATAGTATACAAAGTTATACTCAAATAATTCAAGGAATGAGTCACTATGGTGACTACTATTATGTTAGATTATCTGGGAGTGAAATACAATGATGCTTAAATTGTTCCATTCTGACAAGTGTTGTTCTTTTAAAAGGTCCTCTTTTATCTCAATCTCCATCCTTTTTTAAAAAATTAAACTATTTTTTATTTTTTTTTGAATTAAGGGAAAACTAAATTAAAAAATATCGGGATATATTATAGTAACTATTTGTTTTCCTATTAACCTGATTTGAACCCCAGTATTGCTCTCCCCATCTTGTTCTGTCTGATTTTACTATATTCTATTAATTTAATAGTATCAAGTTTGAGGCTATAGGCAACCACTTTGAAGGCAATAAGATTTACTATGATAACCATTATAGTTTGACTATTATCTTCTTTTGAAATCTTGTAAGGTCAGCAGTGTAGGTTTTTTTGGTCTTGTTCTGTACTGTTTTGATCAATTCTATTATACCTGATGCTATAGGCAACTCTTTTTAAAAATAGCAAGAGGCACAATGGTAACCATTTTTGATCATCTGATACTCTATTTTTGCATCATTTACTATGCCCACCCTTCTGTTCTAACCGACTATGTTTTATTTAGTCATGTTAGGATTTATTCTCTTCAAAAAATGTAATAAGAACTGTGGGAGTAAAAAAACTCAACGAGTGTAATTGTTATTGTAAAAGAGAGGAAAAGAAGGTGGTCTAAGGGATATAACTGCATGCTTGAGTGTGTAGGATGGAAAACCGCATTACTGAGCTTTTGTTGGATCATTGAATAGAACTTTCTGCAATCTCACTGTATGAATGTCCACTTTATATGCTTTAATTTTATAATTTGGACAACTGTTTCTAAGATGACAAGATGTAACCTATTAACTAGTGATTTCTTAATGAATTTTTTCTTGAAATTTTGTATTACTTGTACCCTTTTACTGCTTTGTTTTTTATTTCCTATCTTTGTTCTCTTTAATTAAAAAATAATCAAACCTGGAAAGGATATCTTTTATTTATTTTTTGGGCACTGGAGATCCAACTCATGACCTCACACTTGCCAGGCAGGTGCCTTAAGCCACTGAGCTAAATCCCCAGCCCACTAACGGATAGCTTTTACATCTTTTGATCTTCACAGTAGTTGCCTCTTCTCTTGAACTTGATACTAGCAAGCATACCAAATGTGAATAAAATCAGTCAAGGCCAAATAACATTCAAAAAAACCAGCTTCAAAGAAGATCAGTCATAGAAGACAATGTAAGTAATAGAGGGTTTCAGTTTTAGTTAATAGGAAGTTAAGGATAGTTACCATGGTATAACCTGCTATTTTTGGGTTATCTCTCTGTGCCCTCAAATTTAGTATGAGTAGACAGACCAGAACAAAATATAACCGAACTAAATAGAGCAACAAGACTACTGTAGATTTTAAATCCTGATACACTTTTAACAATGTTCTCTGTCTTCTTTTTTTAGGCAATTCCTCACCTTTCTCCTTCTCAGGATACTATTATTCACTGTTCATAGTGATATTAGTCTTGTCTCTTATGTTACATTTCAGCATATATAAAGATAAAGTCAGCTACTACAAAGAGATTAAGAGACATTATGCTAGTCATTATTGACTTCCCCAAAATCAGTCTTGAGGACCGAAAAAGCCTGCACCACCCTGTAACTATTTGATTAGTTCTATAATGTTTGGTATATACTCAATGTGTGTGAAGATGGGAACAACTATTTGGAAGAAAACTAGAAACAGTAACATAGACAGTGAACATCTACAGTGGACTTGCTTTGAAATCTGTTTGCTTAACTTGTTTCCTTATGAACTGTTCTGTTCTGTTTTGTCATGTTTATTCTTACCCTCTTTAAGAAAAAAAAGTGTCTAGGACAGATAAGCATATTAATAACTTTTTGTTGGATCATTGAGGGGAACTGTTGACAGTGTCATTATTTGAATATCACTTTGTATGCTTTAAGTTTGTAACTTGAACAACTACTTCTAAGATGACAATATGAAACTAATCAACTAGTGATTTCTTATTGTTTGTTTTTCTGAAATTCTGTATTATTTCTAAACGTTTTCTTTTTGCTCTTTAAATAAACAACATTACAATTCACCAAAAAATATAAAATTTAACTTTTACAGAAAAAATACTAAGTACATAGACACCATCCATACTTGAAAGTGAAAAGCCCATTTCAGTTTAGCATTTTTAATTACAAGATGCCATGTTGAAGCACAAACACACTTTAAAAAATCTAGAGAAGTACAAGTGATTAACTGAAAACCATACAACATGTGCACCTAAGGAGAGCTCCACCTCAGATTTGTCATTTCTGGAATATTTGTGAAGAAATATTGATATCTAACTTCTGTATTGATTATTTCTTCAGGTCTCCTTGTGATTTTTAAAGTAAATTTAGATCTAAACTGTCTGAACAGTGACACTTTTTCTATGTATTTAACAAGAAACATGGATTGCCATATTTCTCACATTGTTAATCCACATAGGATCTCTGCCCAGTGAGCTCTTTCAGATATGTAACAATGATCAAGTATGCTGAGAGTATTCCCATAACACATAGGATATATCTCTTGTGTGAGTTTTTTCATGTATTTCACTTACAATCTGGCTGCTGAAAGTGTCTCCAATTGCTTACATATCCAGTGGTTTTTCCCAGTGTGAATTCTTTCATGTGTTTTGCAATGACTGTATGTGGTAAAAGCTTTGCCAAACTGTTATATACATAGGGTTTCTCATCAGTGTAAAGTCATGGATGTATTTTACATTATCCATGTTTGGTGAAAGCTTTCCCACATTCTTCACATACACAGGGTTTCACAACAGTCTAAATTTTATAATGTATTGGACAATGAGCATTTCTGCTGAAACCTTCCCCACATTCCTTACATATATAAGTTTTCTGCCCAGTGTGAAGATTTTCATACATTATGCAATATATACGTGTGTTCAAACCATTCTCATAATTCTTATATACACTGGTTTTATCTTGAGTGTGAACTTTCATGTTGCTTACAATTTCCATATTGGGTAAAACCTTTCCCACATTGCTTACATACATATGGTTTCTCTCCAGTGTGAATTCTTTCATGTTGCTTACAATGTCCAGAATTGGTAAAACCTTTCCCACATTGCTTACATACATAGGGTTTCTCTCCAGTGTGAATTCTTTCATGTTTCTTACAATTTCCCCATGTGCTAAAAGTGTTCCCACACTGCTTACATCTATATGGTTTCTCTCCAGTGTGAATTCTTTCATGAACCTTAAAATATGCACGTGTTTTAAAAGCTTTCCCACATTGCTTACACACATATGGTTTCTCTCCTGTGTGAATTCTTTCATGTTCCTTACAACGTCCAGGTCTGGTAAAAGCTTTCCCACATTGCTTACATACATATGGTTTCTCTCCAATGTGAATTCTTTCATGTTTCTTACATTCTCCCTGTGTATTAAAAGCTTTCCCACATTGCTTACACACATATGGTTTCTCTCCTGTGTGAATTCTTTCATGTTCCTTACAATTTGTATGTCTGGTAAAACCTTTCCCACATTGCTTACATACATATGGTTTCTCTCCAGTGTGAATTCTTTCATGAACCTTAAAATATGCAGGTGTGTTAAAAGCTTTCCCACATTGATTACATACATATGGTTTCTCTCCAGTGTGAATGCCTTCATGTTGCTTACAATGTCCAGGTCTGGTAAAAGCTTTCCCACATTGCTGACATACATAGGGTTTCTCTCCAGTGTGAATTCTTTCATGTTTCTTACAATCTCCCTGTGTTTTAAAAGCTTTCCCACATTGTTTACATACATATGGTTTCTCTCCAGTGTGAATTCTTTCATGTTTCTTACAATCTCCCTGTGTTTTAAAAGCTTTCCCACATTGCTTACATACATAGGGTTTCTCTCCAGTGTGAATACTTTCTTGTTCCTTACAAATTCCAGGTTGGATAAAAGCTTTTGCACATTGCTTACACACATAGTGTTTCTCTCCAGGGTGAACATTTTCATGTATTTGAAAATGAATTTTACTGCTAAAAGCTTTCCCACATTTCTTACATATATGCGGTTTCTGCCCAGTGTGAAGTTTTTCATGAATTACACAATAAGTACATGTGCTGAAAGCTTTCTCACAGTGCTTACATTCATAACGTTTTTCTCCAGAGTGAAGACTTTCATGTACTTGACAATATGTACTTGTTGAAAAAGCTTTCCCACACTGCTTACATATGTACGGTTTCTCTCCTCTGTGAATTCTTTCATGATTCTTACAAATTCCATGTGTGGTAAAAACTTTCCCACATTGGTTGCATACATAGGCTTGCCCTCCACTGGAATATTTTTCATGGATCTGAACATTGTCATATTTTTCTGTTACTTTCACATTCACATTACCTTCTGCAGTACCAAGGAACACTTCTTTACACTGATTCCAAGATATATGTCCATAAGATTTCCCTAGTTTGTCATTTCTGTAAAAAAAAAAATCACATATAAGATTTATAACCATATCACTAACTTTTTGTTGGAGAGTTGAACAAAACTCTTTGCAGTCTCACTGTTTGAATCCCCACTTCATATGTTTCACTTTTGTATTTCATAACTATTTCCATGAGCAGCATATGTAATCATCATCTTGCAATTTCTTACTGTTTATTTTCATTTTGAAAGTAGCATTATTTCCACTTATTTGTTTTGTTTAATCTTTCCTTATATAAATTTAAAAAAGAAAAATTCACAGTGAAATGGGTCTCTGTTTAATGACCGCATTAATATCAAGTTCTGTTTTTAATGCATGCTAAGAAATTCTGACCATGAAGCAACAGAATGGCCTTGTAAGATATGTTGAAAACAACCATTCCCAAAAGACTGGCACACATTTGGAAATCTTAAAAGTTGGTACTTTGAAATGCAGAATCTTTAGCTTCACTTTGGGTATGGGCACATATGGGTATCACGTACAGATTATTGTGATATGTTTCCCCATCACAATCTCCCTTCTGTCCTTAACCTGTAGTTCCCTTTTCCATATAGTCAGTCTTACTTTTCTCTATCAACATTCTTTCATTTCATTCCACAATTTATATTTTGGTGTCTCATCTAAAAGAAACGCTGTGACCTTTTAGGTTTTATAGCTGAGCTATTTCACTGAATTGATGGGTGAAAGACCCATCTATTTCTTATGGCAAATGACATTATATTATTTATTTTTTGACATTATATAACACATTTTTTTCTTTTCTGCACTGGGAATTAACAACAGGTATTAGCATAAAATCTGTAGCTTTTTAAAATCTATTTTAAGAGATTTTCACTGATCATTAAGCTGTGAAGTTTGAACTTGAATTTGCCATTCTGCAAAATCTGATTCCTAGTGTGCTGGGTTTACAGAAATGCACAATCACAGAGAGTCTATTAACATTTTCCTTCTCCACAAATCCATTGATAGATAGCTAAGCTTCAAGGCCTGATCTGTTATAACTTGATCTGCTTTGTATATGAGTAAGCATGTATCAGTATTTTATGCAGACTTGAGATTTTAAAAATATCCAGGACAAGTGTGAGGGGATCAATTTCTAGAGACAACTGCATAATGATATTCAAAATGAGTGCACTAACATTCCACCAGCCTACTAAGAATATTAATCAGAATGGCTGATTCTCTAGAGAATGGCTTGGAAACATGAGGACTCAGTTTTATTTAAAAATTCTATTGCAAACTTAGCAATTGTTAGATAATGAATGTGTTATATTCACATGTAGATATGGGTAGAAAAACTGAAGGCAGAATGTAATAACTCAAAATGTATTCTTTTCGTACTCATCTATATGCAATGTCATACATTTTCATGATTTAATTCCCTCATATATACACTAGCTTATACATCTTCGGAGAATATTACTGACAATAAATTGAATGGTGCCTCATTTCTTTGATCATTTTTCTGCTGACTCACTAATTACTCAGGAACATTCCTCTACTTGTATGTGTGAATTACCTTAAGTAGCTCCAGTAAATTTTGCCTTCTTTTTCAGCTTCCTGGATATCCCCAAGTCCACCTGAATTGTAGACATAGAAATACCAGGACTCTTTAGAGTAATACATACAAATTAATAGGTTTCATTTAGATTTATGATATAATGTGTCCAGGTCTGAGATATTTTTAAAAATGTTTTCATATTCTTTTTCATGAAACAGCACTAATGAGCAAGAAACAATATTCTGACAGCATGAGTGACAAAAAGATTTCATCCTTACCTAACAGAGTCATGTTCCTAAAGGTTTCACCCATCACATCTCTGTAGAGCTTCTTTTGGGATGGACTCAGCAAAGTCCACTCCTCATTGCTGAAGTTCACAGCCACATCCTCAAAGGTCACCAACTCCTAAAGGATCATACATATATTTCTCAGTGGAAGGCTGAGACCACAGGTTTGGGATATCTTAAATTCTCTCCTAGAAATCTGAATCAAAAGCAAAGTGCGGTGGTGCATATCTATAATCCCAACACTCAAAAGGCCGAGACAGGATGGCATCAGTGAGGTCAGGGCAATTCTAGGCTCCATAGGGTGTTCAAATCCACCTGATATACATACAGAAAGCTTGTCTCAATAAAACAAAACTAAACTAAACAAATAAAACCAAACAAAACAGCTGAATGAAGACTGATTTCTTCAAATTTTAATCCATGTCTTGGTCATTAATTTTGTGTATATACACATTATTGAAGACAGCAAATTTGATGCTAGATTGCAACTCACTGCAAATGTAACAGCCAAATAGGAACACTGATTCATGTGCTGAATCATGGCAAGATTCCCCTTGCACTGTCTCTAAAGCAGAGCTCACAATAAGAAGCCTGCAGGACCAGCAACCACAAAGCACAGAGGCAGGTAACTATCCAACCAATTGACTGGAAAGCCAAGCAAGCACCTCCCGTCCCTGGTCAGCGGTGGTGGTTTGGCAAATTGAAGCCCTTCCATGGGGAAAACGAGCAGCAGCTCCTGAGATCCTTCCCATGCTGGAATTTAGGACACTGGGAAGCCAGGCAAGCACCACTTCTCCCTGGTAAGCAGTGGCAGTCTGTCAGACTGCAGCCCTTCCAGGGGGAGAACCAGCAGCAGCTCCTGAGATCCATGCTATGTTGAAACTTAGGATGCTGTGAAACCAAACAAGCAGCCTGTCTCACTAGTAAGCAATAGTGACCTACTGATGCACCACCTAGAATCAAACATCCCACTTCCCTACCCCTCTTCTCCTGTCACCCCATATTAGCAAATGGGAACCAGAAATCTGACCATCTCCTGGCAAGTTGACCATAGCAAATAAGGGGGACTTCCTTCTACTATTACTTTTAAGGAAAATGTTTTTATTATTGTTTCAGTCTATTCTGATTAATGGTACTGCTCTATTCAATATTCTGTCTTGATAAGTTCTATAATGTTCTGTATTTCATCTCACTTTGATATATGTGATTAAAGAACAACTATTACAAAGATAACAAAATATACTGTGATACCAATTACTGTTATCCCAGTAACCTGTTGTGAAGTTGTGTACCAATTTCACTGTGTGATCTTAGTTGGCCTTATGCTGCCTTGCTCCGTTGTATTTTACCAATTTCAATATTCAAAAAAAAATCTCATCAATCACTTTGATAGACTACAGAGGATATCTCTTCAAATCTCATTTAGGCCAATGAGTACTTTGTTCTTAATATACTTAAGCAGCATTTTGAAACATTAATTTGGTTTCATAGAACAAAACATAAATAACATCAAATATGGTACATAGATAATAATAACTCAAGTGTTATAGTGGAAAACAGCTGTATTTTTAAAAATATGTATATAAAAATAATCCAGGCCCAAGCTGTAAATTATACCTCACTGTCACCAAGTGATCACTTTCAATTCAAATATAAGAAATATAACCTGGGAGGCTGGTGAAGGAGTTCTTCCTTGAATTTGGGGCTATCCTAAGTTACAGAGCCATCTAAAATAGACAATCCCTGACTGAGACACTGAACAAACAAAGTGAAACTTAAAAAGAGACTGCATAAAACATCTTTGGTTTGTTTAAAACATTATAGGCGTACAATACAAAAAAATTCCAACAATACTCAACACTTTCTGAGAAACAATATGGATATCTTCCATACTACACAGAAAACACTTTCATAGTTGGGTATTTAATTCCATAGCATGAACGCCTGCCTGGAAAGCATAGGTCATAAGTTGATCCTTGGTACAAAAAAAATTCAAATTTCACTTTCATGACACTGGTGCATAATTAGAGATAATCAAAATTAGATCTCAAGTACAGAACACAAAAATAATGGGTTGACAGGGATGTGGAATACTGATTGTTGCCAGAGCTGGTGTTGATCACCTCAATGAAGCAATCAGAACCCAACTTTACTTCACACTTACTCTAAGAACTACCTGACTTTCAGTGAAGACCCTCTCTGTTGTATGTCCTGCTATTTGCTTCCTGCATCCTGTCAGTCACTTCCACATCCTTTCCATACTCCTCTGATCCATCCTAAGCAGAAAATCCTTCATGCCTAACAAAATTTCTATTTAGGGCTTCTCCTTTACACCACTTAGATAAGTCCATTGTAGAGAATTTCCATATTTAAACACTCTATGAACAACCAAGCTACTAAATCAGCTCTTAATTCAGAGATGACACCTCTTTCCATTCAGAAGGATATCACATGTATATGTCCATGCAAATGCCTAAATTTTGGCATTTTTTGATGAGAATTTAACAGGTAGAACTTTCTGGAATTTGTTCTTCACAAATATTTACCCTGTCCTAGATAACACTTTCATATTTGCTTCATTTTTCTCAGACTTCAAAACTCTACAAACCTAGACTGTGAGTGGGGGTGCCACCTAAATTATTAAGTATGTTCAGAAATTATTTTGCACTGATCTGTATAATACACAGGAGTTCACCTGGTGTTTGGGAAGCCTTTCT